TCGGATACTGGTTTTCCAGAGGAATCTTTTTTCGCTTTCCTGTAGCGCAATAGATGGTGTACTAACGCAATTTTCTTCTTTATCTTCTATGGCCAAGGCCTCAAGTATTTCACGGGCGAGCTGGTCTTTGTGGTGAGCTAATATGGTACCCAGGTCGAGCTTGGCCTCGCACGTGCATGCTCGACAATGAGCGGCTAAATGCCCCGGCCCTGTTAGGGCTCTTATGTTTGCTGCATGCTCACGTGCTCGATCGTTCACGCACCTTCCCGTTTGTCCAATATACACACGCCCACATGACAGTGGTATGTTATACACTACTCCCTTTTCGCATTGGACGTACTTATTCTTATGTTTGGTGTTGCAAGTGCCGGTGTTGTTGGCCTCCCCTAGATTGACCTTCCGGCACATGGAATATCCCTTGTTTGGTGCCGAGCACACTACTTTGACGCCCTGCCTTGTGGCGATCTTTTTCAATCTATGTGTGACTCCATGAATATACGGAACCACCGCGAAAGGTGATCTAGGAACCTTTTTCCGTGTGTTAGAGTCATTCTTTTGGCTGGATTTCTTGATGTTTTGGCAGAGTTTTTCACATATGGAGGCTGAGAAGGGTCTCGGATACCCGGCCTCATGGAGTCTGGAGATTTGGGTCTTGAAGCTTCGTCCCATCTGATGTGAACATGTTTTTCTGAGGCTAGCTGTGAGAGCTGTGGTGGCGACCCCTTGCTTCACATTTTTCGAATGTTCTGAGTCAAAGGGAAGGAACCCTTTCCCCGATCGCGTTTCGTACCTCCAACAAACGTGTTTCTTTTGGAAGTCTAAGGCCAAATCCAGAAACCTGATAGACTTATCAGCGGGAAGCTCGTATGTAAAGGTGAGGCCCATGCAATTTGTTTGAAAATCCCTAAGAGTGGTGTTAAGGCATCCGTCTGATGTTTCATCAACTGGGGTGGTACATAAAATAAGAAAGTCATCAACATACCGAAAAATAACTGCAACTCGTGGGTCTTTCAAACCTTGTTGTATAGCAACCCCACAGGCGCCTAAAAAGACGTCGCACAAATATGGCATCCGTCTGATGAAACATCAGACGGATGCCTTAACACCACTCTTAGGGATTTTCAAACAAATTGCATGGGCCTCACCTTTACATACGAGCTTCCCGCTGATAAGTCTATCAGGTTTCTGGATTTGGCCTTAGACTTCCAAAAGAAACACGTTTGTTGGAGGTACGAAACGCGATCGGGGAAAGGGTTCCTTCCCTTTGACTCAGAACATTCGAAAAATGTGAAGCAAGGGGTCGCCACCACAGCTCTCACAGCTAGCCTCAGAAAAACATGTTCACATCAGATGGGACGAAGCTTCAAGACCCAAATCTCCAGACTCCATGAGGCCGGGTATCCGAGACCCTTCTTAGCCTCCATATGTGAAAAACTCTGCCAAAACATCAAGAAATCCAGCCAAAAGAATGACTCTAACACACGGAAAAAGGTTCCTAGATCACCTTTCGCGGTGGTTCCGTATATTCATGGAGTCACACATAGATTGAAAAAGATCGCCACAAGGCAGGGCGTCAAAGTAGTGTGCTCGGCACCAAACAAGGGATATTCCATGTGCCGGAAGGTCAATCTAGGGGAGGCCAACAACACCGGCACTTGCAACACCAAACATAAGAATAAGTACGTCCAATGCGAAAAGGGAGTAGTGTATAACATACCACTGTCATGTGGGCGTGTGTATATTGGACAAACGGGAAGGTGCGTGAACGATCGAGCACGTGAGCATGCAGCAAACATAAGAGCCCTAACAGGGCCGGGGCATTTAGCCGCTCATTGTCGAGCATGCACGTGCGAGGCCAAGCTCGACCTGGGTACCATATTAGCTCACCACAAAGACCAGCTCGCCCGTGAAATACTTGAGGCCTTGGCCATAGAAGATAAAGAAGAAAATTGCGTTAGTACACCATCTATTGCGCTACAGGAAAGCGAAAAAAGATTCCTCTGGAAAACCAGTATCCGAGATGGAACAGAAAAATCAAGTAGGAAGAAGAGAAGGTAGCCACAACGCCAGTAGACAATGAGAGGAAAACGAAGAATCTTTATTAAATAGTTGGTAGTCCAGCGATCACCTGTCTTTACTCCTTTCTCCCTAATTTCGTAGTTCAGCTGGTTTAACCGTTGTAATATGTACCACCAACTAGCTCAGCTTCTACCCCCTGTAACGTGAGCTTGGGATCTAGCTGTAACTTCTCGCTTAATCCCACGTCTAAAAGTCCCACAACCAACCGGTCGCGGATGAGGTCTTCCTTCAGCCGACCGTATTCGCACGTGTCGGCGAGCTTGTGGAGATCCGTGATGAACGCCTCGACGGACTCGTTCGCTTCTTGCTTACGACGGTTAAACTTTGCTCTCTCGAATATTATGTTCGTGCAGGGGATGAAGTGTTCCTCGAACTTGCCTTTCACTGTTGTGTAGTCGGCGAGGTCGGCGTCGGTCAGTTGCAACGACGCTAAGATGTCTTCGGCTCCCTTGCCCATCGCGTACAGAAAAGTGTTCACCTGTGTTTCCGCGTCGCGGAGGTGAAGACCCGACACGACACGGTAGCGCTCCCAACGTGCACTCCACCGTTTCCAGTCACTTGGATCGCGAAAGTCCAACTTTTCTGGAAGTTCGATGGCGAACGGGTTGAAGAAGTTCCCGCCATTTTGCTGCTGCGCTGCCGCTGCCCTTTGTGTGGCGATGTTTCCTTCTTCGTCCGGCATGTTGAGTAGTTGGTGGGCGCTCACCGGTCTCTGGACGGCGTCTACTTGTTCTTGAGGTTAGTCGTTTCTTTCTTTTACCGCTGCCACCATGTCATGTTTCCGAGGTCGAACATTCATATGTCACGAGAGAACATGTTTATTGATACTCAGTCGTTACGCCCTCTTGCCAGCGTCCCTCTGGCCGCGCTGCCTCTGCTTGCTGCCCCGTGCGCCGGTGAGGTGGCGCCCTCTGTTGAGAACGCGCCACAACAGTTCGCCGTACACGACAGTTGCATGTTTTTTGCGGTCACAAACAACGCCGGCTGCGCTCCATGGGCGTCGAATTAGTAGCCCGTTTTTTGCGGTTGCAAACAACGCTGGCAGCGCTCCATAAGGCAGTTAATGCTTTCGCATTAAAAAAAATAATTGCAAATGATGAATGCAGGTTGTCAGGGCATCTCTGCCTAACATATACTCTTGCATAACAGCCACAGTTTAATCTTGAAAATTTTACTACAATGTAGTTATCAACAGTAACAAAGTTTCCCTTTCTTTTTTAAATACACCAGGCACGTGCGGGCACAATCCCGCTTTGAAAGAGTGTTTTTCTCTTGAGCATGCAATTGCACTATTCTAAAACTCCCTAATTTTTTCCAACCACAGGTTTTGCTAGGTTCATTGCGGCCAACCCTATTGTATGCACACAGCGTGACACTATTAGCCCAAACAAGCAATTACCAGTTTCTCTCGTTTTTCTCATCAAATTGAGCAGCTGCCATAAAAACTATTATAGTCGGTGACAGGGCTAGAGCGAAGTGGAAGCTCCTCCCACCTTTTCCCAATTTAGCAGAATGAAAGCAGGAGAGGAGGTAACCTTCTTTCCAGCCTTCAGAACAGGTGGGAAGAGCTTCCGCTTCACTCTGAACCTGTCACCGACTATAGTGGGGCAAGACGACTTGATTCGAGGCATTAACCTAAGCGGCAACATTTAGCGTCCATCCAAACTGTTTCTGAGTAAAATGCAGAAAAGTGAAGATTCTGTGTTTGCACTAGAAGTGTCGCACAGTGTAGCTCCTGCCATCTCGTTAAAATGTTCAATCACTAGACGAACAGGTATGGTACAGTTAGGATTTGAGCGTGATATCATGTATCAAACACCGTATTAAATCACACTTTATTTTTACTATTAACTATTTATTTAATTGAGGTTCCCCTAAAACCAAAGCTGTCACTTCTATGCACACCTGGGGATTAATACAGACAATTCCATTAATAGAACAGTGTAAAGTCTATTTAGAGACAAAGCATTTGATGTTGCTGAGCAGGAAAGCCGTTAGCAAGCACTGCATTGGGCCTTTTCCGGATATGCTTGGTACTATCTATGGACAGATCGGAAAGTATTTTAGTTGGCTTCCTAAGTACCGCTAATTGGCTATCACTATGTCTGTATCATCACTGCAGAAGAAGGTGGAAAAAAACTGTGGTGTGTTGCAATTAAAACACTGGGCTGTATGCGACACACCGATTTCTATACTGTCCCGAAAATGCCGCCAAAAATGGTGCGTAGCAGTGTCTGCTACCCCTGGGTATGTGCATAAACAACCCTGAAAAAAGCCCTTTGTTAAAAAAAAAAAAAAAAAAAAATTAAAAGAGTGATTTAGGGCGGTTCTATGTGACATATTTCTGGCTCGAAATCCTGCCAGATGCCATGTTGATGAACTTTCACCGCATTTTTACATGCGAAATTCAACATGCACATTTTTACGTGCAGAGTCAGTGTTTTCCAGCTCACTCAAGTTCTTTCGCATGGTGACGGACTGCGTCTACCAGAGCAGTCAGCGACACCAACAAGCATCATCCACTGCCCGATTTTTATGCCTACCGGTCTTTATTCGGACCCAAGACAATCAAGAAGACAACCAGTCGGCGGCCATAAAGGTCCCAGTACATGTCACGCAGGAGACTCCGAAAGGAAACAAATCGAAGTAAGCTCAGATTTATGCACCTCAAATATGTCCCCGGTAGTACTTTTCCAGTTCTGTTGTTGACAGAGCCGCCCAACATGCTTTAGCGTCTCACCGACATCAAAGACAACGCCAACAACTAAGCGTCTGCAAGTAAAGAAATGGCGAAAGTGGTGGACCCTTTTCATCGACGAAGCGCGGCTTACCGGAAGGAAAACAAGCATTTTGCGGAATTGCCCTATGGTTTCCAGAAGTTAATGAAACAATAGCCAGGACATATGGCCATAGCCACCCACCTGAACAATCTTTGCCCTGTGGTTGGAAAGGTACTGCTTGAGGAACTTCATGCTCTGCGATCCGACGACGTGGGCGTCCATCACAAACACGGAGTCGTGGAGTTCGAACACGTGCTCAAAGCGACTTCTTGCGGCCGTGAGCACGAGCTTTGCCTCCGCCTCGGCGTTGTTCTGCAGCTGCTGTGCGTCGGCATTCTGGTTCTTGTTCCCACCGTTGGCGTCGGCATGGGTGGCAACCAGGGCCACCCTGAGTGGTGATGAGCTTTTTCCACCCATTCCTTCGGAAAAACAAATATACGTTAGTTTGAGTGCAATACTTAGCGGGCAGTAAGAAATGTGCAGGTAGTAAAGATGCACATGTGGATAGTCAAGTGAAAGCGGACAGAAAAAAACTGATTAAGAATATGTGACAAATCATAGACAAAAATAGCCTGTTAAACTTTGAGCTTTCTATGTGCAGGCGCCGATTTTTTTGGCTCGTTTTACAGCTTAAAGTCTGCTTGGGACACACTATAGTTTGCTTCACTTTACGTGAGAGCGAAGCCGAAGCCACATGATGAACGAGCATGTTGCTATGAAGAACGCTTGCACTACACGAGCCGCCATGCCCGTCCGCTTGGCAGGGGTGCTGAAAGCCCGGTGCTCGCTCTTGTAGCATTTGCTACACTCGCATTTTAAGGATACAGTGTTTGCACTGTACTGCAACCGTGCAAGCATTTATATTCTTATTTTTTACTTTTTTTTTTTCGAATTACCCAGACAAATCTTCCGTTCTCTTTTTGGAATTGGAGGGTTGGTTATTTTGTTGCTGTAGAAGTTGAAGAAGATAAGCAGTGGAGTGCAGTCGGCAGTGATCAACTGCACGAGTGTGTCTCGCAGGTTTTGTTTGAAGAGCTGCCCTAAAAAAACCCTCACTTTTATGAGCTTTAAAACGCTGAAACTGTGTTGATTAAAATATTGTTCCGGAAGTAAGTGGGGGTGAGTAGATGCCAATATGGTGATGCTGGAAGACACGATGGCGACGCATGAGCTTGTTGAAGCACATGCACACGGGCATCTGCTTTCAGTTGGATGATACGAAGTTGCGCAACAATTGCAGAGGTAAGGGAACGACACACTCGATAACGGAGCCGAAGATTCAGACATGGTGGTCGTTGAGTCGTCACCCGTTTTACTCTAGTCTGAAGATGTCTGTTGTCTGGCAAATACTATACTCATTTTCGCCTCAAAAGAAAAGGAAGTTTTGCGCATTGTTTGTATGCTGTGCAAAGTAGTTCTCACAAGATTTGGTTGTTGGATTAAGAAGCGATGCTTTTGGCATTTGTAAAATGTATGTCTTGATAAGATAACATATATCTAATCTAAAATGCACCTACTTATAATAATTCTCTACATCGAGGGGAAATTAGTGATGCTCGGCGAGGAGCCAAACCTTTTTTTTACTACGGTTCCTGAGGTGAAAACGAGTATAGATGTGGTGAGTGCAGAAAGGGTAAGCAGACCTGGAGCATGAAATTAGTATTTGGTATGGAGCTTATTGGATGCACTTGCAGCTGATGCGTTGTACTGCCCGATTTTGAGCCTGCCGGGTTCAGCACAGAGATGGACAAGAAATTAATAAATCTGAAACTGGCAGCGCGCAGTCTTTCGTCGTCTGGTTTTGGATGGCCGCGTGACATCCCCCTAAAGGAACTCCATGAGACTCAGCAGACGTTGCCTGAGCTGATTGTCTGTATTCAGATAATACAAAGAGCATTTCAAGCAGTCTGAGTTCAATTCATTAAAACTCTCACTGAAATTTGAGCACTTCACATATCATTACAAGGAATACTCTTGGAGTTGTTCACCGCAATCTACCACACATCTTGAACTTTTAAAGCAATGAAAACAACCAACTTTTCAGCACCGAAAAGCGATTGAACGGACAACAGCCATTGCCGATATTATTATGTTGAAAACTAGGGGGAAAAAAAATTCTGCAACGCTACGATATGGGAAAGATCTGTGGCTCTTATTATTTTGTGTTGTCTGTCATCCTTCTTCAATCTGAAGATGTGACAGAATAGTTTTTCTATTGAATTGTGGTGACATTTTAGTTTCACCAAGCTTTAAATTGTTGTTCTTAAAGATATGCGTTTGCTTACTTAGCTTTCTTTTTGGCGCTGTTCATGCCTCCTCAAATGCCCCAAAGAGAACCTTTAAAGTATTCATTCAATTACATTACATAAGCGCCAGAAAATTATGAGCTTGCCTAGTGGTTCAACAGGTGGTGCCCTGGCCTGAAGGTAGGCAAGCCAGAAGCAAACTTGGCGTATCTGGACATCTAGGGGGTCGGTGAGGCTGAACACCACCAGGTGGAGGCAGTGGGCGTTGCCCACAAAGTGGTCGTACAGCATCAAGTACGGCTCGTGCCCGGAGAACTCCCAGATGCTCAAGTCCCCGACTCCAGAGATGGTCACCTGCGTTCAGGTACAGGGATTTGTTTTCCTGTGTAAACTGCGTGGCACTGTTAATGGCTGCCATAAAACTTGCTGGTGTGGCAGAAAGTCTTCATTCGGGGCAACAACACAAGTGGTGAAGTTTGACACCCACACAATACTCTGTCTGATAGAAATGCAGAAAAGCATCAATGTCATGTTTGCGCTAATAATGTTGCGCAGTGTGCCTGTAAACCATAAGCAAAAAGAAAAGTGCCATCTAGTGTACTCATGCTCAATTATTAAATTTCCACCGTATGGGGGGGGGGCTCCCGTGACGATAGTTTCGCCCAAGAGACAATGGTCCTGGCAAAGTGGAAGTCGTAGGTACAAAATATGATCATGTGCTACGTCAATCACGAACCCCCACATAATGTCTTTGATAAAAAAAAAACGTTCACTGACCAGGATGGCTCAGTTCACTGATGAGCGACGAGTCTTGTGACCTCATTGCTGACAATTCATTTTCTGAAATTTCACAACCTTCTTTTCTTCTTTAAACCGAGACTAAACGGCAACCCATTCAGCGCACAAATACATATCATGAAAACTGAGTTAAATGCAGAAGCGCCTCGTCCACAGCTGGAAGAGGTGAAAGAAAACCCAATATGATGGCTCCGAATGGCATTTTGCATATGGTGGCATGATGATGATAGCCAGCAAAAATTTTGCATATGGCCTATAATATGAATTTGAATATGGAAGAGAGTTTGTCTTTCGAGCGCGGATAGACATAAGGAGATTTGCAGTGGACCGAAAGTAAAGGAGTCCCCGTTTGTGCCTGTTCGCGTAGTGACAAGCGTGCGAGCGAAGCACAGCTGTAAACTTCGATTTTTCTTTTCTTCAATACGCACTCACTTAAACTCACCCCTGTCCACATCACGGGCCTGACTGCCCGTTTGGAGACAGGATTTTTCTTTGGCTCATTGGGGAGCATTGGGGAGCAAGGGGACCCAGGGTAAGGTTTTTCCAAGGTTGCAATGGTAGAAACAGAGAAACAATCGCAAAAGCCAGAAGGATTATCCCCATTAAGACCGGCCAGGATGACGGTGTTTCCAAGTGTCGCCATATTTGTCGTAGATGTCGCTCGCTATTGTGAGCCACAAGTGCCAAAAGCAAGTTCTTATTGCTTCTTGATGGTGATACACGGTGTCTCAACACAAATGTGTGCACAAGCTTTCTGCAATTGTGCTATGTAATGTTCTGCATCGGGTTTGCACAAAGGAATGCACTACACTCAACGCAAATGTGTCAGTAAGCCTTTATCGTACATCGCTCACGGCCCGCAGGTGCAGCGGCAGCAGCATCTGTGCTAGTCCTATCGGCTCAGAAATTTTGTTTGCTCTAGTCGGCTGGTTATGATTACCCCCCATTTTGAAGAACAGTTCACCACCGCCTTAAAAAAAAAATCTTGATGTATCTTAATTTAAATATGGTGGCTCAGATCCATATAAAAAATAAATTACTGTGTCAGAGATACTTCCCATACCAAAACCATTGTTGGACACCATTTCGAGATAAATCATATTTTTACCCTGAAAAATGCATCAATGGGGTACTACTGTATTTGTGAATTTTTGAGACCTTGAGCAAACAGACGAACACTCCATAAAATAAAAGCTTGAACGTACAGAAAAAAAAAGAGGAAAAAAAAAATCATTAGTGTTTTGTGCTTGATTTTCTTTCAAAAGTTCCCTTAAAATTTTCCAAGCATGACACAGATTGAAGTGCAAAAAGTAAAAAGTTTTAACTTGATATATATTGCAGCTCCTCATAGCATGAGCCTCCAAAGCAGTTTAACAATCTGCTTTGCATGCACTATCACAACTAACATGGATGTGAACAGAGTGAGAGTGTGGTAGGAATGACATAGTGGTTGCTCCTGAAACAACGTACCTGCTTTTCTGTTCTGCAACTGACACTACAGAGTGCCAGGTTTCATGCGTCTTACGTCCATATCTGTCACAGCAGTATGTGTGTGTGTACATATATGTATATGGGCACTCTGAATGTCACTAGACACTGGCTGTAGCTAAAACAATTACACTCACTAGAAAACTCAAAGGCGCGTGAATTTGTGTGTAGGAGTCGCTCTCACTTTATCGCTTCCTCATAGTGCACCTGAAATTGTGGAAAGCAGTGCTCCTCTCAAGCAGAAAAGTATATGTATTAAGCCTGAGCACCACCCTTAGAGTAAGAATCCAGAATCATGATGGCAGGACTTAATCGCTCGAATGTGGCATATTATATTTGATGATGTCTCACCTGCTGCACGTCAATTCCTCGAGTGTAGTTTGCATTCACGGTCTCGAAGAGAAGCGGTAGAGAATCCCCATTGCTCAAACACTTTGAGATGAGGACGGTTGCTGGAGGGGTTATGGCCTTCTTGAGTTCATTCATGTCGCTCGAGTCATTCAGGTCGGCCGTCCTGATGTTGTTCTCGCTGTCGGTGTCAATGGTGAACTCGTCCATCCCCGGCGTGCTCGACCGGCTGCTGTGGGCCCCTGACGCTGCACATTAAAATAATTTGGGGGGTTTTACGTGCCAAACCAACGACAAGCATCTGGCACACCCCAGCGGAGGACTGAGGATTAATTTGGACCACCTGGGGATCTTTTGACGTGCAAACAAAAGCTCGGTTACACGGCGCCTCCTCCGCAATAAGCCTCCGTCAGATTGCGGGCACCTCGGCAGGGACTCGAACCCGCCACATGGGATCCGTAGGCCAGCGCTCTCGCCTCGGAGCCACCGAGGCGGCTACGCTGCACATGATAATGGGAGTGCTGTTTGTTTGCAAAAGTAACATACAATCTATACATGTGCCATACTTTGTGAGTGCCATGCTCTCGAGCATGCAAACTGAGGTCATGAAGCCAGCCAATAAATAATAAGCTGGATTAACAATCATTCCCAAACAATGTTGTATGTACTGGGGGGAAAGTGAGATTCGTTGCCTACATATCACAGCAGACCATGACGCGAACAGTGAAAATCTTGGAAATCAAATTGCTTTTCCCCTACCAGAATAGTCTTTTATATAAATATGTTTCCTAAAAGTCTGTATGACACTTACAGTTCAACTTAAGGTTTGTTCACACGGTGCATCTTTTTAACGTGCAACGGTTCAGCAAAACCGAGGTTTCGCGCAATAGGCCTGTTCACTTCTGACGCGCAAAATCTGTGACGTATTGACTCGCAAGAATTTCGCCAAACCTTGTCATCTGCACCGGGAATATCAAGCGTTTTGCAACAAAATAATAGTATGCACAGTGTGAAAAGACAATCTGCTTCATTAACCCTTTGCTGGTCGAGATTTTTTTCCCAAAATATGTTTCCCAGTGGTTGGGTTTAGCTTCCAAAGAAATATTATAAAGAAAGGGTCAATGTACACATTTTTTCTTAATTATTCAACAGGAGCATGTGCACGCTGTTTAGGTTTAGAAGCATCGAATTAAAATATTGAAGGCCAAAAGCTTTCAGCTTTCATTGGGTTTTAAAGAGCTTCTCTGTTGGAAGATGGGATCTCATCCTCCAAATTTAATTCCTAAAAGCATTAGAACTTAGAAGTCTGAAACGGAAGAGCCAGTGCTCCCATTGGCACTACTGCCACAGCGGCAGGTATGCAAAGTGAGCATCATGTGCGAGGGACGTTTAATTTGAAAACTAGAAAAAAATAGTTGACCAAAGAGAGACATTGCGTGAATATAACGTTTAAAGTTCACCAAAGACACAACAAATAGCAACACTTTCCATGGTGTGCTCAGTTTTTTTACTTGCGCACTGGTGCGAAGCTCTACGCGAGTGGCGCAGTGAAAGTGCTATGGCTCGTAAGTTCGGACGATGGTATGACCAGTGCAATCAACAAGCAAGTTATGGCTTCGGCCCTGTGTTTTCGGTAAATACCGATGACCCCCAAAAACTACTCCTGGAAACGGTTCTATCAAAATTGGGAAAAACCGAAAAACCCTGAACCAGAGCTGTTCTTGAATTAAAAAAATCCAAAGCTGCACGGAAAGAAAATTTTTATCTACAGTTATTTTGAGCTATCCCAGAACAAAGAATCTCATATGAACTGCCCACGAGGCTGCTTCTTCCTTCGAAATCATTCCCCTTATCTCGTTTACTTCTCATGTCGGTGCCGGGACGTCTTCCGAGCATTCAGTTCACGCACATGTTCCCTGGAGGCTGGGGAAATCCATTCCCACATCCTATTTTCTTCCAAATAAACCCCGATAAACACCAATTTCTTTTATCTGGCATTTTACATTGACTTACACGAAATCTGTGGGAAAAAATATACCCCAAAAATACACGGCTGAACTAAAAAAAAGTAAAGCCAGAAAATGTGGAACCCTGGTTGTAGCAAAGGAGACTACCTACCTGTGAAACAAATGTCCGCACAAATTTTTTCCCTTCCACTTCTTCAAAAACTTTAAGAGTGGAACGTGATAGCTAAACATGTAAACTCCCGGTCGTTCGCAAGCCGTGCAAGCATCTCTTCGTGGCCTAGTGAGTAGCGTGTCTGGCTTACAACCAAAAGGTCGTGGGTCCGAATAAAGCCAAAAAATTCTTCAAATGTTTTCTTTAAGGCAAATAAATTACTTTGTAAAGTGAAATCATTTGAGACATGCGGCGACCTTTAATTCGCATTACATGTCATGTTTTAATCACTTACATTCCACGCGTGACGTCATGTTTCACGTGAGCGTTGTCGGTTGTTTGAAATTCCCGCACAAGGCCATGTGGCTGTGACATCACGACCCTATCGACCAATCGGGATTTTCCCGTCACGACGCCACCGACGCCGGCTTTTCTGCGACACGAGCTCCTTAACGCTGTCGTGTTGAAATCAGAATCAACTTACGGGGTGTGGCTATTAAATAATGGAACTAAATGCTTTGTAGGCGGTATACTTATAGTAGTGTGAAGTGCATGCAAGGAGAGTGACCTTGAAGCTTTCAGAAGCAGATGACACAGACCGAATTCAGAACAAACAAGACATTAGCAGACGAGAAAAGCCGAGACGAGACAAGTCAGACGAGACAAGTCGTGAACAAAGACGACATGGCTGATGTTAACATCGGGCAGTGGATCAACATCAAATTCATAGTGAAATTGAAGAAATCGCCGAGTGAGTGTTTGAAACTGTTGCAGGAGGTATACGGTGATAATCTAATGTCATGTATGCGAGTATTTGAGTGGTACAAATGAATTGCCGTGGGACGAGAAAATGTCGCGGACGACAAGCGACTGGGTTGTTTCGTCACGACAACAACCGAACAGAACTTTGTGAAAATTAGTGGATTTGTATGCAACGATAGACGATTAAGCAATCAGATGATAGTAGACTTGGTGCATATTGATAAAGAAACTGTACGACAAATTTTCCATGACAAATTGAACATGCATGAAGTGTGCGCCAAAATTATGCCAAAAAACGTCAGTCAGAAGCAGGACACCCAGAAACACATTTGCACCAACTTTATAAAACGACTCGCAGCGAAACCTAACTTACTGAAAAATATCATCACATGTGACGAGATGTGGATTTTTAGTACAATACCGAAACCAAAAGGCAATCTATGAACTAAAAAACTCCCACGTTGCCAAGAATGAGAAAGGAAAAATTAAGCAAGCTGAAAGTTAAGGCAATGCTGATTCTTTTCTTTGATAGTGCCACGTGCGAATAGCTGAGTCAGCAGCATGCTTGACTCCCACCCTGCTGGCTGGAGCTTGATTCCTGCCAGCGCTTGTCCTTTTACCTTTCTTTTGTTTGCATGACTGGAATGTTCCAGATGATTCGAGAACCTTGTTGTTGTTCGAGCCCGCAAACTTCTAGATACCCACGCACTTACAAAAGGGGCTTCGCATGGTTGCTTGAGTCAGTCGTCCTTTTGTTGCCGTCAAAGTATGTCTTTGTTACTTTATGTTTCTCAGCACAAGTTCACCACATTAAACATTAATTTTACTTTTTATTAATCAAGTTTGTTTCTATTCGTGACAATATTAATGGAATGGTCATGGTTGAATGGGTACCACAGGGTCAGACAGTTAATCACCAGTATTACCTCGAAGTTTTATCCAAGCTGAGAGAACGAGCGAGTAAGAAGAGGCCCATGTTGTGGAACATCAATGCGTAAATTCTGTATCAGGATGATGCGCTAGCTCACAGTGCTCTGTCCATAAAGCAGTTTCTGTTGAATAAGAAGATCCCAGTGCTGGACCACCCACCTTACTTGCCCGATTTAGCTCCACGTGACTTTTATTTGTTTCCTAAGGTACAATCCACACTAAGAGGAACCCATTTTCACTCTGTAGACGAGGTAAAGGAAGAAATGGCACTGCTGCTGAGGAGCTTGACATATAATGACCTGCAGCTGTTTTCAACAATGGCAACTTTTTTGCATCAGTGCACAGATAGGGGAGGGGAGTATGTTGAAGGGGGATAACTGTTAAGAGTTTAGAGTTTAATGATAAATGACACTTTTTCCACCAGTCTTAATAGTCACACATCGTATATCTGTTTTTTCGGCAAGTAATAGGGTAATATATTTTTGACATTGACCTATATATCTAAGGTGCCACTAGCACTACTAGCGGTTGACTAGCCATAACTTGAGGCCATTCACCCTCATTTCATTCTGTAACTGCACGGTTAATCACTACAGACCTTTCTTTTTGCACTAGCTTTTTGTATAACCTGTACATATAACGAAAACTTCAGCTGTGGGTAGTGCAAAAAGTGGCTGCCTTTTGACACATTTTATTAGGATCCATTTTAAAGCTTGAAACTACTATTTCTACTACAGCCATGTTTCATTAATATGGATACCCAACTGATAGACACCATTTTAGGGAACAAACCGGGTAAATATACGCACATTTTCGTCTCACTATTATGGACAACTAACATTAAGAATGCTTTTTGGGGGAACGGAAGTGTCCATACTAATGAGACATCACTTTAAGGCTTTTGAAGAAGCTGGTAAACTGTTACCGGATGAGACAGACCAGCAATGTTTTGGTTACATGGAGCACAGCTGGTTATGCATAACAGCAATAAAAACGTACAAGAAAGAAAGGACAATGAATGGGAATGCCTGGACATACTAGATTTTGGTTTCGGAGAGGTTGGGGATGTCTTGGACCTCCGGAACCAACTGCTGAAGTATCCGCACTTGAGTGACTCGAGAAGTGTAGTCTTGCCGACACCGCTGTGGCCAAATACTTTAAGCTTGATCCGCGAGAGCGGCTGGGTGCCAGGGATCATTTGGGCAATGTATTCGTCCTTGAGCTGCTCCTGCAAATGGTAACAAAATAAAACAAAAGGCACTCATGACACGGAGCAGAGCATTCACAACATGAAAGAGCTATGGATGTGTAAACTGTACAAGACCATTAGCTTTAATATGGCTTCAGTGCTTTCTTGCATTTTGCACATACAGCTAGTGCATACATAAATTGAAAAAAAAAAGTATGCATTAACCAACAAGCTCCACATTCCAGCTAACAGATTTCGCCACCTAAGTTGGTTCTGAATGCGAGAGAAGTAGGGAAAACTGGTGAGTGAATTCTCATGCCAACTGTGTCGTGTTCTGTACTCGTCATACTCATTTGGAAGTACTGTCACCTTGCGTTGAACGGACACCTCCGTTCCCTAAAAAAATTATTCATAATGCAAGTCGTTCGTAAAAATTAGACAAAAAAATGCACATATTTGTCGTTCGTCTACAAAAATTTTGTCTATAGAGTGGTGTAATATTAAAGGGGTCTAAAGAGAGCATGACATGACTAGCATAAATCAAACTAGTGCTCATCTGGACTGATTGGTGTGGGGAGAAATTGGGTCTACACCCTGCTATTCCAACTCTGTTAATTAAACACTACATTATCAAAAAAATGTTCAGGCAAGAGATTAAAGGATTTGGATAAATAGATAAGGCCATGAGGGCCCCACTGTGCACCCAGCCACGTGCCAGCCCCTGACTGGGCTCATCCTCTTGGATTTTAGGAAGCACAGACGTAAGTAGGGTAACCATTATCCTCGGAGTAGAAAACTGGACACACAGGTTTGGGGGAGAAGAGGGAGGGACTAAAACTTAATTGTGCCACTAGTCATATGAGTGTAGAAACGAATATTGGTTTTGGAGTCGGACAGGTGACTTTCCTCACTGTTCCCTTGTTGCCAAACTAACATGTCAAATTCAGTAGTACTACAAGAAATGTCTGGCAGATGTAACGAGGGAAAGAGCTCAAAATTGTGCTGTATGGAAGGTAACATTTCGATAGTATTTTTATTGTTATAAAACTAGATCTCTAGGGAATAAAGATTCTTTTGGTATTCTTCCATTCGCTTAGTACTGATTTCTTAACTGCATGTTTTCTCATGAAAACAAGACATGACGCCTTTTCTGAAGCAAAGTGACAAGACAATGTAAATGAATCTTTAAAAAGCCTTTAAAAAGGGACTGTCCTGCCCAAAACGGAACGTCTGGTCACCCTAAGCATGAGCAAACTGTTATTAATCTCAAATCGGCTGAAGCAAACGCCCCAACAAGATGGACCAAAGTATAGTTCTGCATATTCCCATGTCATTTATAAGAGTAGCATTCCACACAATGCAAACAGGAGGGGCGACAAATAAAAACCAGAAGAGGCGAAACTGGCAACACTTCCTTCAGAAAGAGCAGAAGTGAACAAGTTTGTTGCTTTCCATTGCAATAATCAAACAAGATATTCCTTGAACTAATTTTAGAATTATGGTATGGTGATGGGGAGGGGGGGGGGGGGGTTGTAACTCAAGGAGAATATACAGAAGTGGCGTTTTGCAGCACACAAAGGCCAAGTTTGAATAAATAAAAAAAAAGTCTTGTGCCTTACTTTTTTTTTCTTTCTGTGTTATGAAACACACAGTTGAGAGAGGACCAGAAATAGTTGTGACGTAATGGTCAGCAGGCATCTAGGCAAGGTGTCTTTAATTGCTATGAATGATTTTATTGAAATGAAGAGTTTTTCCCCTAGAGAGATTTACTAATTTCACTATAAACCAAGCAATGTGTGAGGCTGAGGTGCTCCTCTAATTGTCAAGATTTATTTCGGAGCTCACTACTTTTTTGTCCATTTGGGACTAGACATTGTGTAGAGAAATAATACTCTTAAATTAATATCATACCTTTAAAATATTCCTAGCCAAAGTAAAACCTGGTGCTGATTTGTAAGTTTCAATGTAAATTTTACCAATATAAAAATTAAACAATGCCTCCCCAACAGTTTTGGACCTTACATTTCTGAGCCTGTTCAGCAGGTCACCAATGTGGCTGTGTCCTTGAGCAAGAGCAGTGATTTCAGCAGGGATGCCATCCTGGGAAAAAGAAACTCTCCTCAGCAATCAAATATTTCCTTCACCATGCTATTTGCTGACCTCAGTTACGTACATACTATTAAGCAGATACAATACCTTACGTCGATAAATGGATAGGCATAGGTTCTTAATAAATGCATCTCAAAGGGTAGAGTTTTCATATAGGTCCATTTGGATTAGTCTTATAAGATCCATACTTTCTAACTGTTTTAACACAGAATGAGTTTATGGGTTGGTTTTGCCATCTAGACCATCACAAAAAGCAGAACACAGGTTCCCTCAGTGCTCAACGGGTGTCTGAACAAATGAACTCTGCTCTTTCCCCAGGAATTGAACCCCAGAACTTTTGCTCCAAAGTTTGGTGCCCTATTGCTGCGTCAGTGGAGGTGCTTGAATGAGTGACATTATGGCGGTTAGGTGATTGCACTGCTACAAAAAATCTATTACCCTAATGTAGAAAGTGGGATTTCACATAATTATGTAAGCTACAGTTACGAGAATATGTGGCCGCTATACGTATAATCTGATCTATAAGAGTTGAGTGATCATCCTGCATGACTTCACATGACGTCATGAGCATGTCACATGACTTAATGTGAAGTTGTGATTAAACGAAATACTTTTCAATTTACATAGATTCTTCGCATAAAGTTAAAATGCAGAATGCATTTCATGTGTTTTAGCCTCTCAAACAAGTCCAAAATCCTCCAAGAGTAAAATAGAGGAATACACATTGAAGAGGTAAAAAGTCACTGGAAAGTCAAAAAGATCAATGCACATGTAAAAGTCTAAAAGTGCCAAAAAAAGTAAGACGCTCAGACATACACAACACTTTCTGCACCTATCCACTTTCTGCAAAGTTTTTAAGCAAAGATCTAAGTTTTATTGTAAAATGTAACATTTCCTTAGAAGCTTTTCCTTTTGCAAAGAAGATAACACCTACTTTGTTCTTTTGGTCAACGTTGCAACCGGCAAGGCAAAGGCAGCGGACCACTTCGGTGTGTCCATTTTTGGCAGCCAAATGCAGTGGATACAAGCCGGCCTGCAACAAAAGCAATTCATGTTCCACTCATGTCTCCGCCATATCGTTATACATTCTTTTAAACGCTACCAGAATTCTCATATGAAGTTGCAAGAAAACTAATGCGGGTTCGCCATTATTCAAACTCAGATATTTCAAACTTCTGGTTGTTTCAAACAGATTTAAAAGATTTTATTGTCCTACTATCTTTTGAATGCATATTTATTGCTTAATTCGAACGGCATTGTCATGTAATTTATACTTTTTGTTCTTGCAACCTGAGCGTGCTTCTTACCGAGCACCGGTGCACTGCAGAGAAGCAATACACGCGGAGCTCGCTTCTGCGGATGTTACTTCTCCACAGCGCACCGGTGCGCAGTAAGAAGTGCGCTCAGTGGGTCTAATAGTTTATAATAGACAACCTTTTTGCGGGACAAACAAACTTAATTTTGTTTCGAGGTGTCATATACGCTTTAAACAGTTCATGAAAGACAACATTTTTTACGGTGAATAAACTTATCCGATACATTTCACCAGAGTTTTATCTGTGGTATACCTGTTTATGATTAGTAGGCCTATGCAGAGGAAATCATCAAATATCTGGGAATTGGGAAGAACCAGCTGAACATACAATTACAGGAACATTCATACAAATGAGAGGAGATAAAAAAAAGTGTGAAAAACCACTGGAATCTTAGCTGTTTTAATAGTAAACTCTTTCTTCAATTAGCTTTTCATTTTCTTTTTCTTCTGCCTCATTTGTTTCTGCATTATTAACTACTGTAAACAATGTATTTTTCGCGGGCTCAATATTTCGCGATTTAGGTCATAACTGAAGTTTTGGAATAATTCGCAGGTTCTAATTTTCGCAATGCAGTGGGGTTCTCAATATAGATTCCGATGTGTTTACACTTCACCGGATGTGCTCGCGGGACCTATTTTTCGCAAATTGTAGGCGATTCGCGATATTCGCGAAAATTACGTTTTTGAAAAAATTAAGTTGTTTGCAGTATATTCCTCCTTCTCGCAATCTTAATTTTTAAAAAAGCTGTAGCCTTGCAGGAATATTTTCTCTCTGTTGTGTAGCGAAACTGATAGGGAACTAACACAATTTTCTTTCTTCTCTTGTATGGCCAGTGCCTCCAACATCTCATGTGCAAGCTTGTTTCTGTGGCGTCCTAAGATGAGGACTTGATTGAGCTTGGCCTTTCAAATGCAATCACGACAGTGGGCGGCTATGTGACCTGTTGTTAAATAAGTCATCTTGATTAGGAGGCAATAAAGAAATGCAATTGGTACGCTCGGCACCGAATAAAGCATATTCAATGTGCCGCAAAGTGAACAAGGCATCGGTCAACATAAATAATGTATGCGGCAGAAATCATAGAACAAAGTATGTCCCATGCGAAAAGGAAGTGATCTACAACATTCCCATAACATTCGGGCATCGCTACATTGGACAAATGGGGCGGTACATCAACGAAAGAACATGGGAACATGCAAATAATCTTAAAAGCTCGACAACAACAGGTCATTTAGCTGCCCATTGTTGTGATTGCAGGTGCAAGGCCCAGCTCAATCAAGCCACCTTCTTAGGAAGCAAATGAGGCAGAAGAAAAAGAAAAACAAAACTAGTTGAAAAAGAAGTTTACCATTAAAACAGCTGATAGTCCAGTGGTTGTTTGCACATTTTTCATCTCCTCTAATTTGTATGAATGTTCCTATAATTGCATGTTCAGCTGGTTCTTCCCAATGTATAACCAACTAGCTCAGCTTATCCCCGTCGTATCAAAAATCTGCTTTGTGTGTGTAGCCATTCATATAACAAATTATAATTTTATCTTGCATCCTACTTAGATAAATTTCTGATAATTCAAACTTCTGATAATTCAAACAAAATTTGTGGCTTCTCGGAGTTTGAAATAATGAGAGTCTACTTCATAAAAAGTTAAAACACCAAACAAGCCTTTCTATAGATACCCTATGTTTCGAAGCCAATTTGGCTTCTTCTTCAGGGGCGACTACGGCTATGGTCATTGAGGAGCAGTGTCCTTTTCTTTTTCTTCTACAGTGGGTATCTGGTCTTCTTCTTCTTCTACGGCAGTACTCTTTTGAATAAAGTGATGAAGTTCGTTCACACACGCAGATGGTAAGGCTCCGAGAGACCGAATGATGTTCTGTGGCGTTGTTTGAATATGCCAGGATTCGAGAAACAGTCTCTTTCGGGGATTTTTCTCAACGTCAGTGATGCATGCATGGTCAAAGTCAATACAATGGTCTCTGGACGCGCATAAAATCTGAATGAGCTTCCGTTAGAATGAAATTCTGCAGTAAAGAAGTCAGCATAAATTGTGGAAAGGCTGCCTGCTGGAGATAAGAGTCAACTTGCACGAAATGCACTTTAACAGGGAGGATAATGATGTAGGCATTGAAGAGCCTGGGACTCTCGGACATACCTTGTTTGGCACATCAACTTTACATCCAAAGGCACACAAGGTCTGGGCCAGGGAAAGAAGGCCGTCACGAGCTGCCACGTGGATCGCAGTTTCTCCATGCTGCGACAGAAGAAAAGTTTGGCTGTACTCAGTACAAAATAAAAAAGGGTGCCTTTTTTTGCCCACAATATGACACATCTGTTTGCATAAGCCAACCCATATGCCTGAGATACTATGGGGACAAATATGAAAGCATTATTTACAACATAAATGGACAATTAAGAAATAGTGCATAGGTAATATGAGTTGCTGCTAATATCAATTATATTAAATGTGGAAATAAATCTGGAAGAAGCAATTTACTTTTCTTTAAAGAGTATCACAAGTACAATTTTTAGACCCAAGGTAAATTGCAATCTCTCTTTACAGTGTGTAAATAAGAAAAAAAAACAAGAGAAGGTTTTCCAAGTCGGATAAAGTGTCCCCTAAAAAATATAGTTTCAGAAATAGGCGCAAAAGTTCTGATTGTTATCAAATTTAAAAAAAAATTAACCTGAAAAAATTTGATGAAATGTATAAACATGCATGCTACACGTTTTTGCTGAGTTTGATTGTATTTACCGTTTATACCTGCAAGTGCAAATACTGGGATGGCCTCGTGCAAGCTTATCATTTTTATATGTTACGCAATTAGGCAAACCCAAATAGTGAAAACATTCAGTAGTGTTTAATTGTAGCACAACCTCGGAAATACAGTTCCTTGACAGGACACAGGAAGAATCAAACTGTTACTTAAGTTTACGTAACATATGCAAAGCTAAGCTGCTTACGTTATCAACAACATCCGTCTGGCATCCATTGTGTAGAAGAAGCAGGGCCACGGAAACATGATGCCTCCTCAATGCTAGGTGCAGAGATGTACAGCCATGCTGCAACATCCAACAGGAAAAACAATGTGCAATGTTATTTTAGGGAATCATTATTTATTTCAACTGTTCAACGTTGGTCCCATTCATCCCACCTTCAATAAAGAGGGCACTAATTTCACACAGATATAATCTGAAACAGTTTTCTATCAGGCACAACTTTTTAAGTACATCCGGAACACAAGTATTCGGAGTATGAAGTTTGCTTTCTTAAATGGTTGAATCGCTGCTATACTTTAGTGTAATTAATAGCCTCCATTGCGGTACATCGTAAGGTGAAACGAAGTATAGTGGAGGGTGGTTCCAAAGAAGCACCATCAAGAGCAAAGAGAAAGCACTAAAAACAGAAGACCCCCAACCCCCCCTCCCCCCAAAAGAAAAAGAAAAAAAAAATCTGATGAGGTATCTATGCAATGGTTCCAGATATACAAAAGTAAAACAAGGAACTCTGGCAAAATGTAGAGAAACCATATAGAAACCATATGATCGCGGGCCCCCAAGAATGAAAACAATCATTAGCGACCACAGCACCGCAGACACTCCCTCAGAAAGCAGTCATCGCATAACGTAGCGCTGTGGCCTGCAGTGCTTTGGTAGTTAACGCACACTTTTAGAGTTTCCAGGAGCCGACCTGCACCAATCTCACCAAAAAGGTATGCTGTTGTGGGGATACAATACTTCATCAGTACCGCCGTGTTTTACTATAACCAGTATTTGAGTTTTGACGGTTTACTTTATCAGAATTTTGAGCCATAGAAAAAATGAAAATACAGTCGGGACCGGTGCCTCTTCTGACTCTAACCGATGTTTTACTATAGGCGGAGTTACTATAACGGGGTCCTACTGTATGTGCAGAGACAAACTTTTGAAACCTGTCCTTCAGTTATTAAAACAATTTCGAAAATTGTTTTCAACCTATATGGTTCATTTTAATAATGTAATAGCACAATTGATCTGTACAGTGCCCAACATTGTAATGACTTGCTGATAAGCTAGCTGGAACAAGTAACTCGAGAACAGAGAATCCATGTGCATGGAGAGGCTCTTGAAGCCTGTCTCTCAGTTACTGTAAAAAGCAAAAATTTGTTTTGTCCTTTATGGTTAATGTTAGTAATGTTAAAATACTATTGAACTGTACAGTGCACTACTTTTTTATACTTTTCTATTGGTAACCGTAACAAAAATAAAATGCTAAATGAATGAATGAATACCATTTCATGATCTTTTATTTTAATATATGCAAAAAAATATATATATATAAACCTGAATGTTGGTGACTATCTTGTTAACAAAACAATCCATCAACTAGCCAAAGCCAAGGACAGAAAGCTAGACATTATGGTAAAAGTCAAACAGCTATAAAATAGATAAAGTTACAATAACAAATACGTTACTACAACAAAAATTTAAACAAAATGTAGTTGGTGCACATCCCACCTGGTCAGTCACTATACGTGCCTCACTGGTAGAATGAGCACTGTGTATGCACCATTGATGAGAAATATACAACCAGAACTCAAAGAACATTAGGTAAATGCAGCTGTGCAACACTGGCTGCTCTTCCTTACCTTGTCTAGAAGGTCTGGATCGGCACCAGCTTCCAGAAGGCAGCGAACGCTCTCCAAGTGACCTCTCGCTGAAGCAGTGTGGATGGGCGTCTCCCCTTCCTGTTCAAACAAAATCAGACAATCAGTTCATTTACTATATTATATTCGAAAAAGATGAAAGAAGTTGTCAAATGGTTCATAACAAGTCTTCCAAGTGACCGAATTTACGAAACTTAGCAGCACCCAAAGATTCTTTCGAGAGGTGGTCTATAAAGATCCACTGGTAACATCAATATATATATATATTTTTTATTGTTGAAAACGATTGAAAATGATATCTGGGCATAGCCCTAAATATTTTAATATTAGGAACTGCATATTTGCAGAGAAAAAATATTTTCAAAAAGCCTGACTTTAGACTCTTGCCCGAATCTGTGATAGAAATGGTGAAATATGGTGCACTCCTTGTCTGTTTTCATGACTTCAAGCAAAAAGTGTCCTTTAACTTTCTCTCTCCCTCTGATCGATCACGGCAATCACGAATGCTCACGTCTGCCAACTGGCCAATTACATGCCTACTTTACTGCGAGCTTGCCACTGACCTTTCTCTGCAGTCAAAAAATATGTCACTTTTTAGTTTGATTTTCTTCTTCTAGAAGTGTTCGACTTAGCGTGTTTCCAATGCTTTTTAAATAGGTAAAGAAGAAAATTATGTGCTGCAGGCTTTGGTGAGCAACGCCAAAGGTAAGTCTAGCATCTTGATCCCTCAAATAATCATCTCTCGAAGTCCGAGAGAATACTCGGCATCAATAAAAACAATGTGTCGGAGTCGTCGCAAACTTTTTCATTCTTCTCATCCTTCTCAATGCCCTCACCACAGCTGCTGCATGTTAAACCCATGTTAAAAACTGCAATTATTAATTGTCACAAACATGAAACTTGCAATATCTCTAAATTTCTGAAACATGCCTTTGCTAAGTATGTCATCAAAAGAAAAAACAAGGAGGAGCCAGGTTTGGAGAGGTAGGGGAGACATATTTATGACCGGCTGTTTTGCACACTAAAATCTTTTTTTCACAATGAAATCTTTTTTTACGTCAAGCATTCGAGATTGCAAAATAAAGTATATATTGATATTGCAGTGGCCTTTAAAGGGGCCCTGCAATCCTATTACCTTTTCTGCGGTTTCGACATCTCTCGTGGTTCAGGCAACCCAGCGGGCATGGAGAGAGCAACTAAATATCAGTGCGTCATATTTTAACCGGACGACGCATAAACCACCTCCTCCTACAGGGATGCCCCGTGGTGCAGAACGAGCGCGGCCTGTGACAAATTCGTGGCGTCGTCGGTCCCGGTCAGCTTTTACCTTATGACTGGTCAAAGCTGCTAAAAGCTTTCTTTTAGTTGAAATGCAAAATATAAGTGGCACAAACCGTTTCAACTATTAATGAAAGTAGTTTTTGTTCAGTATTTTGGATGAGACAAGAAACAAATGCAGTTAAGAAAGTATGGGAACAAGAAACAACGCGCGGTGACCAGTCGACATATCCACCACAGAGCGGTATAAGAGGCGGCGTGGATCTTAGTAGACGACACATGATGCCGGCGGCACATTTTGCAAGAAGCAAAAGTATGAATCTGTTTCCTGTGGCCTCGTGCCACAGGGGACCCGCCCGGACCTTGAGCGTCATCGAGTTGGGGCCAAAAGGCTTCTCCAGTGCACTCCTGACGCTTGCAAGGAGTGTCCTCAGACCGTACTATTCCCAGATCCGCACTTCTATCGAGGATTTGAAGCTCCAACTCCGACAGACCTGGTAAATTTATGCCGGCAAGCGGAGTGGAGGGCTGAAGAAAGCGACGAGCTGTTGACGTACCTGCAACTGCAGGGGAAGCGACCATCAACGTAAGCCGTGGTTGATTGGCCAGTCGCTTTGCTTCTACCGTTGGCCACCCAAGCCAGGACCATGGACGTCATGAAGGAGGTTATTTTTTTGCTTGTTTTTGTAGATTTGATTTGCCTATAACTTTTAAAATAGGGCGAATTTCGGGAAAAGAAAAGTTTCACTACGTTACCACGTTCAGTGCGCTCAGGCTCTGTGCAAATTAAAAAAATGACCGCATCTCCACGTGGTAAATGATGTTGATTGGGGCGAAGCTCTGGTGGTGCTGATGATACTGATTTTATTGTTCGTAGGTAGTGCTGATAGAGCTGATTTTTTTTTTATTGCTCATAGGTAGTGCTGAGTTCCGGGTTGCGTTTCGACTTCATTATTACTGCTTTATGGTCGGTGAAATGCAGAGCCAGTGGTTCTTCTAGCGGATCAGCTTGGATCCGCTAGAGGCCGTGGGAACGCATCTCCACCACTTAAGTCAACGGTCCATGTCAGAAAGAGAATGTGTGGTATGGATCGTGGTTATATGCGCAGTTGAGCATTTGACCGCAGCGCCCTCTCGTCTATAAACGTTGAGTCAATGCATGCAAAGTTTAACGTGATTATACAGTATAGACCACTTACAACGTAACCGCTTACAGTGCAGGACCGGGTATAACGCGGCTTTTTTAAACCACCGGTTCGCCTCCCATAGAACTCCATGTAATTACATACCGCTTCAAATGCAGGCACACGAAGAAAAATACCGGTTATAGTGCAGTTTCTGAAACAGCCCGCCGACCGGTGCAGCGAGCACACTTCCCTGTGCGACACTAGATAACGGCGCTAGCCGCAAGCGGCACTCGCGAGGCACGGAGGTTGCTCGAAGAAGCGGGGAGAAGCGAAGAGAAAGGCTTCAGTTGCCATAGCGATGGAGGGACGCACGCACGTGCCATTCACGTGCGTGCGTCCCTCCGCTGCGCTGGAAACGCTGGAAACCACGACCAGAGTTGGTCGTGTTGAAAACAATCGCAACGACAGACCAATTGCAGGTCGAGGAGAAGTGCATCTCCACTGCTTAAGTCAACAGTCCATGTCAGAAAGAGAATGTGTGGTATGGAACGTGGTTATATACGCAGTTGAGCATTTGACCGCAGTGCCCTCTCGTCTATAAACGTTGAGTCAATGCATGCAAAGTTTAACGTGATTATACAGTATAGACCACTTACAACGTAACCGCTTATAGTGCAGGACCGGGTATAACGCGGCTTTTTTAAACCACCGGTTCGCCTCCCATAGAACTCCATGTAATTACATACCGCTTCAAATGCAGGCACACGAAGAAAAATACCGGTTATAGTGCAGTTTCTGAAACAGCCCGCCGACCGGTGCAGCGAGCACACTTCCCTGTGCGACACTAGATAACGGCGCTAGCCGCAAGCGGCACTCGCGAGGCACGGAGGTTGCTCGAAGAAGCGGGGAGAAGCGAAGAGAAAGGCTTCAGTTGCCATAGCGATGGAGGGACGCACGCACGTGCCATTTACGTGCGTGCGTCCCTCCGCGACCAGAGTTGGTCGTGTTGAAAACAATCGCAACGACAGACCAATTGCAGGTCGAGGAGAAGTGCATCTCCACTGCTTAAGTCAACAGTCCATGTCAGAAAGAGAATGTGTGGTATGGAACGTGGTTATATACGCAGTTGAGCATTTGACCGCAGTGCCCTCTCGTCTATAAACGTTGAGTCAATGCATGCAAAGTTTAACGCGATTATATACGCATTTGATCGCAGCACCCTCTCCTGTATAGATGTTGAGCGGCTACATGCAACGTTTAATCCATGACAAAAACCCCAGCTCTTGAGTTACTACCACATCTCAGAGCCCCCTACTCGTCCCGCAGTCATGGCCAAGTGGTTAAGGCAATGGACTAGAAATCCATTGGGGTCTCCCCGCACAGGTTCGAATCCTGTCAACTGTGCAAACATTGTTTCTTTTTATGTGAGCACGGACGCCGAACGAACAAGGCTAGACCCTAAGGAGCTTCGCCCCTAAAAATCAGTTAAAAAGTCGCTGCAGGGCCCCTTTAAAGTATGAAAGTTTAGTGGCACTCTCAAACATTTCTGAACCTGAACATTTTAATTTATTTATATACTTATATGTAAATATGGTGACCTTTTTCTAAAAGGTGAGGACAATAAGGAACACTAAAAGCAAAACAGCAAGACATATATGTCAAGCAAATGTAAAGAATACCCTGCAAGGACAAAATCCACAGTTTTTTAGCTTAGCTTAAAAAAGCTTAAACAGCTTAAAAAGGGAGCTTCAGCAGGGCTAACTGTCTCAATCTGTCATTGATTGGTTTAACGTGAACCTATATACATGAATCTTATTAAAGTTCAGTCGGTGGTGTAGCCATACCATACTTCCTTTCATGTGCATGTTTATATGATCATGCAGAGCCCATCTTTGAAAGAGTGTTGTGAGGGTGCAGTGGCATAGCCAGAAATGTTTTTCGGGGGGGGCTGAGGTGGCTGGGATGTCTTTGACTTGGGGTCAAAATGCATGTGTATTACAGGGTCGGCTGGATTTCGGGAGGGGAGAGAGGTGGGGGGGGGGGGGGGGGGAGGGGCTGCAGTCCTATAAGTTTTCCCCCTGGCTATGCCACTGTGAGTGTGTGAGAAGATAAGTTTGAAGAGATATGACCTATGGAAAAGGGCAGCAACATTAGTTTTATGGGCCTCAATCATTGTGAGAGCCAACAAGCGAACCTAGCATACTATTAATGCTTGTCTCCTCTCTTGTGGAGATGTCTGTGTGATGTTTTTGGGACTGGGTTCCTTCCACTCACCTCTACACAAATAGAGTTACGTTTGTCCAATCCAGGAGGCCAATGGCATTGTAAAAATTTTATGGCACACTGCTAGGAAATTGTGTTGCGTACGTGAAACAATTCTTGCATCCCAAACTTTAGCGATACTCCAAGTTCCCAGACGCCTACGTTTGCAGCGCTCTTCATCAGATAGTTTAAAACGTTCCATGTGTACACTTGATAGCTGTTCTTAAAATGAAGTGATACTACCGCCAATCGTGCTCAGAAACCTGGCGATCTTTAAAACCTTTGATACTGTGGAGCTCCTCTCCCTCAGTGTGCACAGGTAGTTGAGCTCCTCTTCGCCTACCCCTCTGGTCACATGACCTCCCTGTTAACCAACCAGCATCGAGCACCTCACTCCTCCTTTCCCACCCGTCGACCAATCAGTGTCGAGCTTCGCGGCCATGCTTTTGTCTGGGCTTCACGAAATGCTGAACACCTAGCCAAAGAATGTTTCACAATAAAAAAAACTCATTGAAAAGACAATCACACTCCATTCGCTCCTGTTCCAACACCACTGCTAAAGTCAGTGGCATAGGAAACTATATGGGCCTCTATTGTTACTGCTCTATTTTTGCAGTGAACCTGTATACTCAGACGTCCCAATGCACAGTTATAGTATGAAAACCTTAGACAATAAAAACACTGATACAGCAGAGTTTTCAAGCTGACTTAACTACAGAGGAACTCTAGTTAGTAAAAAAATAAAAATTAAAAATTTAATTCTTATAAGTTTGTAATACTGGTATAGTCCTTTGACTTCACCAATATTTTTACTGTGTAAGTAGCTCGAACGTGCCAAACATACTACAGTCGCTGACAAATTTTTTGGATGCCATTAATTGGTACTTGTTCGATATTTCTAACCTAAAGGAGGATCTGTTATCTATCCAATAGAAATAAGGCATATTCCCAATTGATGTTTCGGACAGTTTGAAGCTCAAAAGTTCGGACAAAATTGTCGCGAGCAATCGACGCGAAACACCACCAAGAAGCAGCCATTTTAGATTTTATGTTGACTGCACATAGACTGGCTTGGTTTGGCAGCGCTGCTTGAGCAGTGCTAAGTCCTACAGCTATGTGAAGCTGTACGGCTTTTTTTTCTCTAGCTGTGCGTCATTATCATCATCATTGTTGTTACCATTTTGCTTTGTTCACTCGTGCCTGTCATCTCGATCTCGTCTCGTGAGTCGAGTTTTCGGACTACGCTGTCTTGGACGTCATTGCCCCATCTGTTCTTCCGCCGCCGCGATGTGTCGCTAAGAAGCACAGAAAGTTCTCGACTATAACGCTAGAAAAGAAGGCAGCGATTCTCAAGCTAATAGAAAGTTGCCGAACACAAACGGAGGCGTAACCCGAAACAAGGCATGCAGGCGTAACCTGAAGCAAGTCACTATGTACGGCTTTTTTAAGCCCACTAAGACGTAATAAAGGCAAGTTTTTTTAATCTGCTAATTTTTTTAACTACTCTATAATTCGGACTATTTTCTGGCCCCTGCGAGGTCCGAAAAATTGGTTGCCAACTCTACAGTATAAAAAGCTTAGATCATGAAAACGCCGATGCAGCAGAGTTTTCAAGATGACTTAAAGGGAAACTCTGATCAAAAATTTTTGAACTTAGGGTTACTATTGTTCTCAGCTAAAGCTTTCAATTACAAGGTATATTTTTTTTCTTTATATTGTGTGTAGTTTTATAAATATCACGGCTCAAAGTTTGGTCTCTAGTGTCTATGGCAAAACCGAAACTACCTGCTAGAGGGATGGCAACACTGATCATCAGCCGTACGACCGCGAGGTGACGTCACAAGGGTGCTGCGGTGCGCGGCACAACAAATCAACCACCGCTCCACTGCGACATGACGTCACAAGGGTGTTGCGCCCATGTTCCTTGACTAAAGGCTAACCCACTTGCCTACCACTAAAAAGCAGCTGGTCGAATCTTTGAAAGCGGTTCTAATGGAGTATGCGGGTTCACTTTGATGTAATATTTCGGCTGTGATCATATTTCGTGCCACTAAAGCGATACCAGCCATTTATTTTGGTTTTGTTCTCAACCAGAGTTGCCCTTTAATTACAGGGGATTCTAGCGTTAGTCAAAGTATGAAAATGACGAAGGAGAAATTTTTTTATGCTTGTAATGCTGGTACAGTCATTTGAGGTACTAATACAGAGGAATGACACTAATTTAGTAAATACTGTTTACTGTCTTAATTAAATTTGAAAAAGATATGTTCTGCAGTATATGCTTATAATGTTCCAGTTTAGTTTAATTACCAGTTGTATTTCAGCCTGGAGTAGGGCCTCGGTATGATCAAAAATGGCGGTTTGATTTCCGTTTCCAATTCGGCCTTGGCTCAAGAGACTGAAGGTACCAACCTTGTTGCGGAGGTGTGTGTGAGCACCAGCCTCGCACAGAACGTGCATGATGGTCGGGAAGCCATGCCAGGCAGCAATGTGGAGCGCCGTGTCCCCATGCTGGAAATGCATTAAGAAGAACACAGAGAAACTTTTAGGATGAGTTTTTGTCATGCTACAAAAAATATTACCATACATCAGCAACTTATCTCAAGTAAACCGTACCATTATGAAAGCTACTGCTGATCTTTCATCCTTGAAAATTTACGATAGCGTGTGCAAATATCGATGATATCATTAATCCAATTAGTGTTGGAGGTTATACCTTGGTGCAGGTTAAGAAAAGCAGGACAAGCTCATCCTGCAAAACCCTTCACTGTTCCCACTTTTGCAGAGTGAATGCTGGAGAGAAGGGGAGAGGGGATGTGAAGCTACTCTCCTCTTCTCCAGCATTCGCTCTGCTAAAGTGGAAAGAGTGAAGGGTTTTGCAGGATGAGCTTGTCATTTAAAAAAAGAAAACTCTGCCAAAGATATATAGTCCATAGGCACTGAACACATTCACTACCATAACAGCATAACAGATCGAGCAGGTGCGCACCAAAAGGTTGCAAATAATCGCAAAAAGAATAAAAAATAAAGATAAGCACTCGTTAGGTTTGAGTCGGGAAGCAGTATAGGGATGCATTATTATTGGAGCGGTATGCAGAGTGCAAGTTCGTCTGCTCCTTGCACAGGGGTTGCGATAATGTCAGAACAGTGAGCTCTTATTGGCTGATTAAAAAAAGAATTACAGGAGGACACTTCAGACTGCTTATCTGTAGGAATGTGAAAGCAACTGCGTAGCCATGCATATATCAACGAACACGTCAAGAACGGCGTCTAGGAGGACATCGAGGACGACGTCAAGAACGACGTCTAGAATGACCTTTAGGACGACATATAAAACAACGTCCTAGAGATTGATGACAAGTGCAGCACCTAGGACGACCTCTAAGATGACCTCATGGACGACCTCAAGGACTACGTCTAGGATGACGTCTAGGATGACGTCGACGATGACATCAAGAACAGCGTCTATGAAGACGTCAATGACGACGTCCCAGATGTCATCCTCGACGCCACAGCCTGCTTCCTCGGCTGTGGCGTATTTGCGTGGGCGGCCATGTTTGCCCGCGAAAGCCATTGTAGATGTAGAAACTGCTGCCAATGCCATAGATATAGACGCAGTCGCCTCACAGTCCATCGCACAAAGCACACAATGAGCACAGATGAAGTCCGAAGCGCACTTTTTGCACAAGGCGCACTGGCGGTGACAATCACGCTTTCGCACTTGAGCGCGAGCGGTGCGTGCTTGACGACATATTTTTATGGCCATCTTTCGGGCACAACGACGACGCTTTTTCATTTAACGGAACGCGTAAGGCTTCCACTTTAAGCTAGCGGGCAGACCTCAAGGCATCTAGCATTGAGGTCTACCCACTACCTTTTCAAACAAAGCCAATCACAGCTCGGCGTGGTTCTAACGTCACCACAACTCCTGCGCAAGAAGTAGACGACTCGCTCTTCGCATAGGGTCTGGCAGCACCCCTAAAGCGGCGGCACAAACCCACTTTGTGCCGTTGCCCCCCCGTCGAGCATTTCTGTTCCGTAAAGTTTCTGCACGTGTAAAGCTTCACCACTTTGCATCAGCGTGCTAACAGAAGCAATTGGCGCAGAAGAGTGTCTCGGTTAGCTAGGTGATCTCAGAAGTGTTTGATATGTTTTTGCCTATATATAAAATACTGCAAACAACTTTATTTTTGCGGGCTCAATATTTCGTGAATTCGGTGTAGTGTGGTTTTCAGAAATATTTTGTGGGCCCAAAATTTGGAAAATCAGGGTGGTACACCATTTATTTATTTATTTATTCATACTGCTCGCCTTTTCAAGGCTTTAGCAGGAGTGGTAAATGTAAATTATAATACATGCTCAGATACGTAAAAAAGCTTTCAGCCTTTCCACTCTGGTGAAGAAGGGAGACCAGCGAAGCCGTACTACGGTGGGACGACCTCGAGAACAACCTCTCGGACGACCTCAAGGGCGACCTCAAGGACAACTTCTAGGACGATGCCTAGAGAAATTCAGCTTTTATTTATAAATAAGGAAAGGCTGGAAAGGTTGCCACCATCTATAAGCGACGGCGGCAACCAGACAACTGGCTTGCCAGTTGTCTGGTAGCAGCCTTTCCTTATTAATAGGTGGTGGTAGCTGTCCAGTTTTGTGTCGACACTTATTTGGTGATGGACATGAAACTGGGGAAACTAGCCCTTAACAGCTCCGATGTAAAATTCATTTCCACCAAAAGAAACACAAGCATGTAAAAAACAAAGGGGAACAAAGAGCAGTTATTATCAATACAAATAAATCCCAATCAGAGTCACACGGTTAGAAAGAACAAAGCAAACATACAACAAGGTTCTGACAAAATCAGTCATTACAGTGACAATGACACCCACTTGACTATGTCGGGCGACAATGTGACACTAGACGGAGAGAAAAGGATGCATTTGTTATGGTAGGGAAACATTCGTGGGACCTATTTTTTGCGATAATACACAAGTCACGAGATTCGTTTAAATTAGGTCCTTGCAAACATTAAGTTGTTTACAGCACTAAAAAAGTAAAAAGAGAGCACTTATTTCAAAGTGGGCACATGCACAGTATTTTACAGTAGTTCAAAAGTGGTTTATGGCACTTCGTTTTATACGCTTCAAGCCGGTAGGCGATAAGGAAAGGCAAGGGATCCCACACACACAGTGTACCCTATCCGTTTTATCATGCCCAAGATGCGTGTATAGATACCAACTGGAGGCAGATATTTATACACACATTCATGTCAAATGCATGATGCCATTTCCCATGAGGGCACACATTGTACAAGTGTGCAATATTGTAACCTGTACTGTGTGATGCGTGCTAAAGATTCCAGCGTAGACACTTAATATTCCAGAGTAGGCATCACACTGCAATGACTAGATTCCTCCACTATAGCACAAAACCGCTATTGCCAAACCTCAAAGACAGATCAACCACTCACTGTGTAAATATTCACAATGTCTGAATTTTTGCTTTGCTCTTCCAGAGATGAAAGGAGAAAACGCTCTTGACAAACCTCGTCTGCAACGTTAATGTTGGCGCCGAAAGAACAGAGCAGCTTGACAGCCGGACGATGACCGTAGCGTGCGGCGACATGCAGCGCTGTTTCTCCGATCCTGTTCTGGCAGTCCACAGAGACGCCGTGCTCCCACAGGTACTGGATCACGTCCGTGTGGCCCTGACGAGCTGCCCAGTACATGGCGCTGTCTCCATGCTGCACAGAAATAAAACGGAATTGGAACAGTTGTCTCTGTCGCAGATGGAAGTGAACAATAGGAAACCCTCGAAAGAAATGATTGGTGTAAAGAGCTAGAAAATTAAAATATAAGGCTAGGCTTTCCTTGTCGTGAAGTCATGGAAGACCACAAAATCGCGTACTAGATGAGGAATGTGATCGCTGTTTTGTTAGGCCAAAAATCCTGAAAACTTGCGAGACAGAAGCACCCTCTGGAACAGCATTTATAAGTAGAAAAATGCCGCGAACTTTTTTCGAACCGAAGGTTCGATGATCGAATCAAGCGGTTCGAAAGGTTAGAAAGATTTTGAATTTTCTAACTTTCCATATCGAGAAATTCGACGGAAGTCGAATTTTTGATCTTATTAAACTAAGTTGACGCTTTTCAAAATTTCAAACTTATTATGCTGCAAAATTCAATGCTTGTCGAACTTTTGAACTTGATAGACTAAAACTTTGATGAGTTTCGAACTTTCGATTTTTTGCAGTAAAAAGTTCGAAGTTTCTCACACTTTCCAACTTCCTACGCTAAGAAATTCAATAATTTTTGAACTTTCGAACTTATTAATCTAAAGAATTCGAAAATTGTCAAACTTTCGATTCCTGAAAAGTCAAAAGTTCGACGAACTTCGAACCTTTAGGGTAAAAGTTCAAAGTTCGTCGAAGTTCGAAAGACCGGTAGGCGGTTTCATTTGGATTCAAGCAGTGAGGTACATTCGTAATATTTTTTTTTTTTTGCAATTTTACATGCAGTGCCGCATTTCTTGCGAAAGACAACGCCAGTCATTTCAATCATCTGGCATGCTTGGTTTTAAAGAAATAGATTCCCGAAAGAGCGAGGAAGGACGACGGGTTTTCGACAATTGTCGTTTGTGCCATATTTGAAGCGCGCTATAGCTGAAGCTATTTATGGTTGAGATGTTAAACTTTTTAAGAATGATCTATGTATAGCCTATAGGTAAGTGTCGTCTTAAGATGTGATTATTGTTGTTCAAGACAAGTTTCGAAGAAATATCCAAACATGCATCTACGGGCAATTATGCCCTGAACTTGGTAATTTTTTCCGTCTAAATTGTTTGAGGTATCGCATTTAAATTAACACCACAGACAGTATATATCATTACCATCTGCAGATTACAAAATAATGTATTTATTGTTTTTTTCACGTTGAGGAATGAATTAACTCATGGGAAAAGATTTCTAAAATTTTTCAAATTCAACACGTCAAAAAAAAAAAAAAAAAAAATTTAATTTTTTTTTTTTTTTTTTTATCATTTTACGTTTTTGGACGTGTTTCTTTTAGCCTGTACACATTTTCGTAGGAGAAACTTGTTTTGTGGTTTTGGGCCTCTGAATATGCAAGAATACAACACTTTCGGCGTGTTCTTGATAGTTCTTTTTTCTCTCCAGCTTTTTATTTTTGCATTTATTGTTATGCTTATTTATTTATTATTTTTTGCCAATGGCACAGTTATTTAGGTCGAAAAGACATAGCTTTGAACTTCTGAACTACCGAACATGTGATGATTAGTGCCTTCTGATAACGAGTTTCTAGCAATGACCATCTACACAACCTTTTATGCAGTGAAGAGCGACAGTAGCTATACATATGCATAAATAATTTCAGATTAAAATAAGCTTGACCACGCCCTCTTTTCCCGTATTGTTTTCTTTAACAGTCCAGAATATCTGGGGGGGGGAGAGACTGGAGCCCCCCCATCCCTTCCCCCCCGTCTTTCCTCTTCCGACGCCACTGGTATGGCAGAACGCTCCTCGACCTCAAGTTGTGTCAGCTTCGGTACTTTTTGCTCGGCGTTTCTTCCGTCCCAGAAAATAAACCTCTAAAGCAATTACAAACTAAAAAATTGTCAAGGTGTAGGCGAGCTGGTGTATGTTGAGCATGATGCAAAATCCCGAGACTGGGAATGAAATTCGCAAGAAATAGTGTAAGAAGAAAGAAAAAAAGGGGACAGGACAACGTCTCAAACTCAGCTGAGTTGAGCTTGAGATATTGTCCTGAGCCGAGTTTTCAGCTGAGTTGAGCTTGAGGCGTTGTCCTGAGCGGAGTTTGAGATGTTGTCCTGTCCCCTTTTTTCTGTCTTCTTACACTTTTTCTTTCAAATTTCATTCCCAGAGCTGAGTTTGAGGCATTGTCCTGTCCCCTTTTTTCTGTCTTCTTACACTTTTTCTTTCAAATTTCATTTTCAGTCTCAGGATTCTGCATCATGTACAAACTAAACTTACTATATGCCAGCATCACTCGGGCGGCGATCGATCGGATTACTACCAGCGTTCAAGGGGGTAGGGAGGCAGTTTGCCAGATCGCTTCAAGGTTTTTATGAGTCTCAACCACCTGCCTGCCCCTGGCCGTTTCGAACTGGACGAGTATCGTTACACAGTGCGTTCATGTGATCACTACTTCGTGATGCACGTTAATGACCCCCCCGGGCTGGCGGTCACAATTACTATCTATGGAAACACGTCACTCTGCACTGGCGAATATTCCAGCACATCCGGGACACTCGTCGTCTCATTTAATTGCATGACCAACTTCGCGCAGTCTAAATATCACACCCAAACTTTTCTAAACCTGAGTTCGTGAAAACCAGTGAGGCGTGAAAATGTTATTTGAAATGGAAGCTGTGGCAGAACATGAAAACCGGACTTCAAACTTTGTGTACTTGGACCTAAAAAAAATTCAAAACCTTAAAAGTATTTTTTTTTTTTTTTTTCAAATTCAGCCCTGAAAAAGGATCGAAACCTTTGAACTTTATGTAAAAAGAAATTCAAAATCTTCAAATTTTTCTAACTTTATGTCTATCAGAATTCGAAACATTCTAATTTTTCGAATTTCAGATCCAAAGAAATTTGAAACATTCGAATCTCTCGAATTTCAAGTTAGGAAAGTTCGAAATCTCCAAATTTCTCAAACCTCAAGTACAAAAATATTCGAAATAATCGAACCCAAACTTTTAGAAACCGTGAAAGCTTCAAACTTTTCTAATTCGAAACTCCATGATTTCTGAAAGTTGTGAATTTTTCGAATTCAAACCTCCGTACAGTCGAAAATATCGAAACCTTTTGGATTCGAACATCAGTTCGGTTAAAAAATATTGAAACCTTTCGAATTCGGACCTAAGGTGGTTCGCAGCATCCCTATCTATAACTGCTTCATTGAATTTATTTTTATTTTTGTTTTTCAAAAATATAAGTGATTAAATTAGAGCACTAGCATTCATTTTTGTGAAACCTTGCGATGTGGATGGTGGTTGCACAATATTCAGCTGTGACAGGAAAAGTGCTTGTTTCCTTAAGTTTGCTAGTTTCCTTCTTGATCTGTGTGACCCCTGAGGTATTGCGTTCGCTTTCCGAGACACAATGAGTTGACGACTATTTCCAAACAATGGCATTCATTCCGTTCATCGAACACTGTTTCTGTGAACTGGTTTCTCCCACAAGCTGCTATGCCAAAGACAAGCACTATAGATTTGTTCTGTTATGGGTGTAAATTTGGTTCAGTCACGCATTGTAAGTTGTGCAAAATTTCCTCCCTTTGGCATTCTCCGCTGCCAGTATGAGAACAACAACTGATATTGGCGGAGGAGAATTCTGGATACTTCTGGCAGAAAAAAATGTGCTCGGATAGGGGGGGAAGGGGGGGGAGCAACCACCCATAAGATACTAACACTTAGAGCCAAATTAGCACATTATTTAGTTAGAAAACAACAACAAACCTCATGTTTGTTCACAGCAGGGCACAAATAAAAACCAAGATGATCTAAATATTTTAAATTGTGATTTAAATCGCTGATATTACTATATCAAACCTTCTCCGCTAAAATAGCCTCCAAAATATACTTTTGTTTATGTTTGCCTATCATTTTAATCTTTCCGCGTCCATTTATTTTGTACAAAAATAAAAAAGTAGCAAGCAAAAAGGAATCGGATCAGGCTGAACACTAACAAAAAACAGCGCTGTTTTGAGAAAAGCAGAGATTTGGCCTTCTTTTTACCTTCCACTTTGTTTGTCAGCTATGAGGTGTCCTATTGCAAGCAAAAGATGATGCAGGACAAGTATGTGTGTGTGCACACATACACAAACCAACAGGAAGAGAGAAGGAGACTCAGAGAGAAGAACACAGACAACAGACTGAGTTACATGCCTAGGGCTGATTTTGCATCGGCTAATATAGCTGTTTTGTTTTACGTGACTATGCCACTGTGTATTGTGAGACCATACCACCAAACCATAGCTGACAGGCACTTGGCAACCTGTGCTTGAATTCAGAGACCACAATTCTATGTCCCTAAAGACTTTTTTTTTTTGCACTTTTATTGCAGCTTAGAAACCAAAAACATTATTCTGAAGCAGGCCACAGGGACAAGGGCCACAATGACCCTGTGCACTTGAAGGCGATAGAAAACAATTCGGCTGGGAGCTTTCAACTGAAGATGAAAAAGAAATACTTGGAAGCTGTTTCCACAAAGTTTTAACATATTTAAACTTAAAAGCGATTCATGTTTCGATTTGTTCACTGATTACAAATGAAGGGTTGCCACTAGTTCGGAAAATCAAGCTTCTTCCGTTTTTACCAAAAGCATGTCATGGTATGGTTTAAAAAGTTATAATTAAACTGTACTTTATGATACACTTAAAATTGCAGTGCATTTCTCTTTCCACACTGTCCTCAGAGATTAAAAGAGTCGATCTGCCACGTTGAAAAAGACATCACCAAAATCAGTTTTTGAAAAATGTGATATATATCATATACATCTAAAAAATTTAACATATCAGATCTATATAATTTTTTTTCCTGCTCTGCTTCCAAGAAAAGAGTTTGAAGTGCAATGGCATGGCAACAAGAGTCAGTTCGCTTTAATTTTCCCGAGGTACTAGGCAAGGAAACCGGAGGAGAAGTATAAGCTTACACTGTCTGCCAGCTTCAGGTTAGCACCCTTGGAATGTAGAAACTTGAGTATCGGCAACTGGGCCAGACCTGAGGCTACGTGCACAGCAGTCTCCCCATGCTGCGCCAGAAGAGAGACACGGGGAAAAAAAATGCATAGAGTACAAAAATGAAGACAATAGATAGCTCTTATTCACATGAATGCAATTGCATCAGATCCAACTGATTCGACCTTTAGAAAATGACAGACAACTGGTCACCAACATTCTTCCAATCCTAGTCGAGCTACCGATTGACTGACCGACTGTTAATCTCTGCACCATTAATCATCTATGAAATTTCTTTTCAAATTGTTAATAGGTGTATCTGACCAAATTTTATGTATATTGTGTCAAACCGCATATTTTCTTTTTGGTTGTATTTTTGCAATTCAATCAAATTTTGACCGAACTGTACATTGTGTCAAACCAATAGCTCACTTATTATGATTATTTTACATTTATTTATTTATTTATCCTCGAACACTGTTTGTGTGCCATTGTAGGGGACCTGGGACCTGTCAAGCTGTCTTGCAGCTCTTTCCCAGCCTCCCTCATTGATTGATAAAATCATTTAAAAAAATATATATTGTATTGTATTGTACTGTAGCAAACACGGTCATAGACAATGAAGAGCTCTTAGAAATCCAGTGGAGGCATAACTAATATGAGCCTTGTTTTCTCGCACACAAAAATAAAGGTTGCAGTCAATACAGTGCACTGAAACATGCATAGAATGCGCTAAATTATAGCCTAACCATGAATTTTAAGAACTGTGCCTTACACTCTTCTGAATCTAAATTATGCAGATACTGGGTTAGAACTCTGAATCTTAATTATGCAGATACCGGGGTGGAACTTATGTGTTTCGTACTTTTATTTATTTATTTATTTATTTTTTGTCTAAAATCTTTATGGCAGGTATGGGTTGTATCCATCTGATCTGAGATGAGAAATATTTTAAGGTATAAAGAGAGTAACATTTCAATTGCAAATAATACTTTGCCAAATGTAGAATAAGCTTAAGATTGGTTAGTGTCTGCCTTACAGTCTCTGGTAAAATTTTGAAATATCAGAAGTTTGAAAGGTGAATGCACGTGAATTTGCAAGTATGTTTAGTGAATTCATATCTACAGGGGGTTATCTTTCCCAGGCTTTAGAGATTTCTGAAAAAAATAAAATCGTGAAAATTACACTCATAAAGCCTGTGCCATTGGGTTATGTGGCCAGGGAGACATAATATAGGGGCTAATCGTCAAAATAAGTAAAATATTTAACTAAAATTCTTTCGTTAATTAGAGAAAGTAGACACATGGCTTCAATTAGAAACTCGCTGAGCATTATCGAAAACCATTAAACTAGTAAATTTAAAGAAATACTTGGAGCGCGGTGGCACACTAAAGTTAGCACTCGTGCAAGAGGTGCAAGGCTGGCAATGCAAAAACGCGGATGATAAGACAAGGAAAAATTGTGTGAAAGCATCAAAGTGAGATATGCATTTTTAGGATCCAGAAAGACAAAGCATGTGCACCGAAACTTCACACAACTGACAGGTTTCGTGGGTTTGGATGATGATCGGCAAGTTCTAATTAAAACCAGCTCTTTATTTAGTTTAATGAAATTGTCATAATTTTGTTAATCATACAACTTATTGTGCTGATTTAGCTTCCTATATTATATTTATCCAAAAGTATAACTCACCTGCACAGACCACAATAGTGCAGCTTTCACAGCTTATTTAGAAAAAAAAAAAAAAAGTGTAAAAGTAATAAACAATTTCTCTCCCTCTCTCTCTCGATATATATATATAGAGAGAGAGGAGAGAAAGAGAGAGAGAGAAAACGTAGCGCAGGATGCCAAAAAGTAATTATTTTAATATTCTAGCACACCGCCAGTAATTAATTTAATACTGTAAATAAACATAACATATGGAAGTCACATGTGTGATACCCAGGAATTCCTTTTTTTTTTTTTATTTAGAATGAAATGCCGAAAACTTTAAGGGGATCGCTCAGACTACAACACTCCTTACGTCAATAAGCAATATATTCGATATATTAAAGTACGGGGTGGCTACAGGCTACAAAATGTTTTAGTAAATACACAAACTTCAAAACTGCCAGACAAATTATAAGGATTGCCCTTGGCAATACTTATAACAATCAATACTACGGAGCTTTTCTAGATCGTCTCCGCTGTCCCGCCACACTGACCGCAACCTGTCACGAGATCTGGAACTCCGCAGACAAGGCTAGCGGCGCGCGTGCGCAGGAGTGGCATCTTTGTTGCGGAGAGCGTAACGGAAGGAGAAACGCGGTTTACGAAAACTCCCTAAAATTTCAACATTTGAGAAAGAGACACAGAGAGAGAAATAAACAAATAAAACGGTGACAGGCTAATTCCACGCCTGTCCACTTCAGCAGAGCGACCGCTGAGGTCGTCTGCTCTCCAGCGTTCACTCTGCTAAAATGGAAAGAGGTTAGAAAGGGAGGGAGGGGGGATCTCGTGAACTTTTAACCTAATTGTTATTAGAATATATTATTATGGGGTGGAAGGCTTACTTACCTTATTACTTTGATTCGGGTTGATGCTGGACATGGAAAAAAGCTCCTCCAACCCGGTCAAGTTGCCTTCCTCGATGGCGCAGAAGAGTGCAGCAACCACGAAATTCTCGTCTTGCTGAAAACAGAAAAAAAAAAAGCATCGGAGTAAATTATTGTTCTTTTGTTGGCTGAAACTTTAAATTTTGACGCGCCCCAGCCAAGAAACACCTTTTAGATGCAAATCATTCTTCAAACCGAAAGCGAAACAAATGTAGCGAAATTGCAGTGTTGTCAGCATGATTCCCGTCTTTCTCTACGCACAGCACACCCGCTCGCACATAAATATAGAAATGCAGTATACTGCATCAGACGACTGTTTCTTTTCGAAGAAAGCATTCGGTCACTCGTCGCTCGAACGTTGCTAATTTATCGCCAATATCAGACTGGAGCAAAAGGTTACAGTACAATAGGTGATGTGCGTGAATAAGTTTGCTGCCCGTCGCGACCAAAATCATTACTACACACAACACACAAAAGAAAATACAAAATCGTTCGTGCATTATGCTTTCGGTTATGCGCACCAACTTCGCCACCAACAAACGACCCACGCGAAATGCACTACTCTGCAAAAAGCGGGATCTCGTATAAACACCACGCCGCATTCTAAATACCTACGAGAGCACAGCGTATACAAAGTGGGGCAAATAGATCAAGCGCAAAAGCGTAGCAGACCGAGTAGTCGCCCTAGACAGAAGTCACAGCGAAAACACGGTGCGAACGCTGCCAAAACTCGCATAGCATGCACGAGCATAATCTCCGGATAACCAAAGCGCAGTACGCTGCAGAGCCAGCACGTTACCGTTAATCTTGAGACAAATGTACGGTGTCGAAGCCGACCGACTTCGTTTCGGGAGAACAACGCGGAACCTCTTATTACAACCCCAGGACGTCGATAAATTTCAGGACCGTGACGTCACCGGCGTCCACGCTTCGGCTAGGCTTTCGCGAACATGTGACTGCCGCGGTAAGACCACGCCCCACAATCGAATCCGGGCGCGCCGTCCGTGCTGCGCTCCGGAAGCCTCGCCACGCTCCCGTACGTCCCTAGATCCCTACTTCCTTCGATCCCTACTTCTCCCTAGAGTCTCCTGTGTTCGCATTCTCGCGTTCCAGTTTCTCGCGTCTCCAGCTCGACGCTCGCCCTCCCGCGGCGGAAACGGGAAGCGCTCTAGTGAGGGTCCCCCGACTCTCCTGCTCAGCGGGCATGGCGGAACTGCTCGCGATCATGGCTCGCGAAATGTCGTTTCCGAATGTAAACAAGACTCTTCACTGTCCCAACGTAGTGCTGCAGCCGGTATGGGATTGTACCTTACTGGAGAGTTTTAGTATTGCGCAAAGAAGCAAACGCAAGCGGTATGCGTTTGCGTTAGAGTTCCGTGCCCCACGTTGTGCGTGCGCCCCATCGCCATGCGCTATCCAAGACCGCAGTTTCGGGCTCCGCGCACGCGCAGTGTAGAACACGTAAAGCTAACGCAAACACACAGGGCTTGAGTTCGCTCGTATACGCAATATTAAAACTCACAACTGTTTCACAGGCTTCCAACGCCAACGAAACGTGCTGCAGTGACCAGACGTGCAAGCAGGTAGGCGTTCCTTCGAACTGGAAAGGTTGAGATTGGCAAAACAACGGCGAGCAAATACAAAAGTAAATAAATGTTATGAAAAAACTAATAATTAAAAAAAAACTTTTTTCTTTTTTCCTTTTTTTTTTTTTTTTTTTTTTGGGAGGCATTTGGTTTGGAAGGTTATTGGCGGCGACTTTGGGCGTTTCGCCGGTTGTCAAAAGTCGCGACTTCGAGCACAATATACTTTATTCACAATTAATGTAATTTTACATGGATTTCTCACATTCGCTAAAATGTTTTCATTGATTTTAGACTATTTTTTATTGGTAATTAAAATGCAGCAACTGAAACCAGTGATGATAATTAGCACAGTTTTTATTGTCATATTTCTTTGCGCGTGTAAAATTAGATCATAAGCAACAAATTATATTAGAACTTGAAGAATTACTTATTCAAATTTGTGACTTTTAATATTATTATTATTAATACAAATCGCGGCAAAGTATGCCTCCAATTAACGCCAAGATCGCGAGAATACGCTATTTAACAATAATAGTCTTTCCAGAAAGGTGTAATTCTGTTTTCTTTTTAGCATATGAAAAACTCTGACATAGTTATCAAGATAGACAAACAGTCAAACAATAGATGTAATATGAAGTCCTACACGTCACGCGGTGCTATAAACACACACACAGGCACACTTCAGCTGTCTGACTCGGATTCTGTCTTTGGGTTGTTGCAGTGAGAGCAGCGTTTATTAGTTTATACGTTTCGTGGACATATTATAAAAATTAGAATTATTTTCTTATTCTTGTGCTGGAATAATTGTCATTATTTCCCACGACAATTATCTGAGCGAGAGAAAGGCTGCGAGAACGCACAGATATCAGCACTGATTTTTTCAGCAACTACAAATATCACCCTGGATCGAACAATATGTCACAAAATAAAGTTTCCGCGAACAACTTTTCTAAGTAAATAATTACGATGTGAGACACATCTTGAGTCGTGAAATAATTCGAAATTAAGGCCTATATCGAGAAATTAAATCCAAAATAGAGGTAAGTTTCGGTTTCGCTCCAGAATTAAAACGCGCATCCTTCCGTAAAAAATACGCTAAACACCGTTCTTGTTTTCAGGTTAAAGGGGTAACCTGCGCTCATAAAACATTAGCTTCCTTGTATTACCAGAAATAATTTATGTCGCTCAGTGAAGCCACCACACTAGACGGGCTCAACAGCGGCACGCATCTCTGACCCTCACTAAACCCGCCATCTTGGAAAATGAGTGGCGCCACCTATAGTTAGTTGGAGTCGCGGATACCACCGCGCGTTCTCGGTGTTTACTTATTATTAATTTTTTTTTTTTTTACTTCAGCGAGTGATTTTTGACATTTGTTTTCATCAATTTATTTGGCACTTTTCGGTGCTGAGGAGATAACCTGCCGATTTTTCGATAAGAAAGGTGCTTCGTTTAATAACAGCAACAACGACAACAAAAAGCTGATGATCTGACACTACAAGCGACACTCCCAGTTCATTTATTGTCTCGCCCGAATACGGGGCGTTCTAATCCAAATTACATGATGTATTAAAACCCCTTGCCTCACTCCATTTCGCTGTAAGAGAGTCGCATTTACGAATATATTTCCTAACTTTCGTCACTCAGAACGTCGAATTTAAACTGTAAAAGCCGACACTCCTCGACTCAAGAGTAGAAGAACGATGTTTAGTACTGGGTGCTGCAATATGAGCTGGTTCAGTGAGATCCCCTATTCGCGATATTAACTAACTATAGGTGGCGCCACTCATTTTCCAAGATGGCGGGTTTAGTAAGGGTCAGAGATGCGTGCCGCTGTTGAGCCTGTCTAGTGTGCCGGCTTCACTGAGCGGCATAAATTATTTCTGGTAATACGAGGAAGCGAATGTTTTATGAGCGCAGGTCACCTCTTTAACCTGCAAACAAGAACGGTGTTTAGCGTATTAATTACGGAAGGATGCGCGTTTTAATTCTGGAGCGAAACCGAAACTTACCTCTATTTTGGATTTAAGTTCTCGACAGAGGTCTTAATTTCGGATTCTTTCATGACTCAAGATGTGTCTCATATCGTAATTATTTACTTAGAAAAGTTGTTCGCGGAAACTTTATTTTGTGAAATACTGTTCGATCCAGGCTGATATTCGTAGTTGTTGAAAAAATCAGTGCTGATATCTGTGCGTTCTCGCTGCCTTTTTCTCGCTCAGATAATTGTTATGGGAAATAATGACAACTATCCCAGCACAAGAATAAGAGAATAATTGCAGTTTTTACAATATGTCCACAAAACGCATAAACTAATAAACGCTGCTCTCACTGCAACAACCCAAGACGGAATCCGAGTCAGAGAGCTGAAGTGTGTGTGTGTGTGTTTTTATAGCACCGCGTGACGCGTAGGACTTCATATTACATCCAGCGTTTAACTGTTTGTCTATCTTGATAACTATGTCAGAGTTTTTCATATGCTAAAAAGAAAACAGAATTCTACCTTTCTGGAAAGACTATTATGGTTAGAGTATTCTCGTGATCTTGACGTTAATTAGAGGCATACATTGCCGCGATTTGTATTAATAATAATAATAATATTAAGATTCACATATTTGAATAAGTAATTCTTCAAGCTCTAATATAATTTGTTGCCTATGATCTAATTTTAAACACGCGAAGAAATATGACAATGAAGACAGTGCTAATTATCATCACTGGTTCCAATTGCTGCATTTTAATTACAAATATAATAAAATAGTCTAAAATCAATGAAAACATTCTAGCTAATCTGAGAAATCCATGTAAAATTACATTAATTGTGGGTAAAGTCTATTGTGCTATCAAAGTCGCGACTTTTGACAATCGGCGAAACGTCCAAAGTCGCCGCCAATATACTTCCAGACCAAATGCCCAAAAGTAAAAAAAAAAAAAAAAAAAAAAAAAAAAAAAAATTTCTTAATTATTAGTTTTTTTTTTTTTTTATAACATTTATTTACTTTTGTATTTGCTCGCCGTCGTTTTGCCAATATCAGCCTTTCCAGTTCGAAGGAACGCCTACCTGCTTGCACGTCTGATCACTGCAGCACGTTTCGTTGGCATTGGAAGCCGGTGAACCAGTAGTGAGTTTTAATATTGCGTATACGAGCGAACTCAAGCCCTGTGTGTTTGCGTTAGCTTTGCGCGTTCCACACTGCGCGTGCGCGGAGCCCGAAATCGCGGTCTTGGATGGCGTATGGCGATGCGGCGCACGCACAACGTGGGGCACGCAACTCTAACGCAAACGCACACCGCTTGCGTTTACTTCTATGCGCAATACTAAAACTCTCCAGTAAGGTACAATCCCATACCGGCTGCACCACTACCCTTACGAAAATGGCAGATCTGGACTTATATAAAAAAAAACAAATATGGATATATAAAAAATTGGGCAGATCTGGCCATATCAAGCACATCAGTTTATATAAGCCCTATATGACCAGATCTGCCC